GGTGGCTCTTCAGTTTTCTCAAAACTGATTCATATTTCATCATTATGACATCTCAATACTACATCCCACCAATTGCACTTACAAGTCATAGAGGTTAAGGATAATCCGATGGGATACACGGCCAGCTATTATACGCCCCACAATAGAGTAATCTGTAGTTTAAACGCCCTTTTTTTCAATGGCCGAAACAGCAAATAGGTTTGCAGTGAAGGTGCCGTTAGGATCAGCTTTACCCCTTGCTCTACCTAATTTCTGGTACTTGTCCGCATCCTCATAATAATATTCCCAAACCTCCTGTTTCCCCAAGTCCCACTCACCATAAGAGCCCCAAAGCAAACGTCTGTCCTGCTTACTAAACGGGCTCGAGGGACCAACCATAATAGAGTCATTCTTGGCCTGCCACTTTTCGGCATATTCTTTATACTTGTCACCCAGTTCATGAAAGCAGTCCAGCGTCTGGACAACCGATGTATCCCTCCAGCTGTAGGAAGTGCCGTTGTCTTTGTTTAGATAGAAGTGCGAATTGGCGCCTCCAAAGCATTGGATCTGCGTTACAAGCTTGCAATGGGTGTAGACCTCGTACTCCTTATCCCCTGGGTTATTATCGAGTAACTGGCGCGGGTTATAGATCAAGTCGATGCGATCAATGACCAAGTCGACCCAGCCGTCCTTTTCTAGAGACTTCGAGTTGGTAGAGTAGGTGCGCTTGACATAAGGGAGATCAAACTCTCGCCGCTTGGGGAGGATCCATCTTCCTGTCATTCGAGACATGTCCTCTTCGAACTCGTCGATGAGGAGAGTCTCATTTTCGAAGAAACTCTTGAGGGCCCGGAACTTGTTGAACCATTGATCAACACTCTCGTCATACTTATCCTTCTTGCTAGTAGGGCACCATTGCGCATTAACTATGATGACGGCGGGGAAGCGACCATTGAGCCACTCAAGAAATTCATCCGCAAGGGCGTTCTTGATCTTGTTTTGAATGTGTTCCCAAAGACTAGCATTATTCAATGTGGGAAATAGCATCGCGATGGGAAAGTCGGTGCTGAGGACGTTAACAGTGAGGTCAAAGCCTCGCGGGACATTGGCATTGTCGGCCATTTGTGCGACGGCGGTAATCAGCTTTTTGAGGACCTTGGGGGAGTAGATCCAGAATCCTTTGATGCCATGTGGTCCCTTGAATCCGTTTGGGCCGGCAATAGTCCCCATGTAACTCTTGGCCTGATACACCTCGACGGTATAGTGTGAGATGATGCCAAAATTACCTGGACTGCCCCCGAGTATGGCATAGAAAAGCTCGAAGTCGTTCTCTTCAGAGATGTCTCGAATGACACCGTCGTGACAGACCATACGAATGGTTCTGATGTGGTCACCAAAAAGGCCAAAGCCACGGCCAAGCTGGCCATAACCACCAGTTTGACCATGCCCACCCACACATACGTAAGCGCAATCTCCGTGGGGGACAAACAGTTGGTTGTGCTTGAGATATGTGTTGAGCTCTTTGAGTTGATTGCTGGCGCCAACGTACACCAGGGCTCTATCTTGGTCAATGGGGCCATGGGGATTCAGAACCATCAAGTCCTTGTACGTGTTGCTAAGGTCCATCTGAATGTTCTTGCCACTGGTAGACGACGCACCACTGTACTGGTGACCGCCACTCTTAACAGCAATAGCGACTTTGTTCTCTCTGGCCCAAATTACAGCCTTGATGACGTCTTCGTCTCCTTTCGGCTGAACGATGAGATCTGGGTACATATTGTGATCAACCTGGTAAGATGAGGTTGCATATTGCTGGTTGAAGTAGGCATAGTCCTGTTTCTCAGCTTGAGTGCCATCGCGGGAGTATTGCATCCCCTCAAAACCCGGAATTTGGACCATGATTGCTCTCTGAAAGACGCCAAATGCGCAATTGGCAGAAGTCTTGGTTAAAGTGTTTGGTGGACAGGCTTAAGACGCGAGTGGCATCCAATTTTATACTTTTCAGGAGTGCTTAAAGACACGAGCGAGTGTCGAGGCGCCCTGTCTCCACGGTGATTCCGACTGACATGTGTAATCTCAAGTGTAACATTGATTTGGTGCACACTCCTCGGGCTTGAGACCTGTAGCAGAGTCAAATTACAGCGCCACCGTTATCTCAGCCAGCCTCGTTATCCCAATCTCCATCCAAGGTGAGCCGTGTCTGACGGTGTTGGTGATCATTAGACATATTTAGGGTAATGAACTATGTTCCCGTATCTTATGCTTTTGATGCAACTGGTTTGCCATAACATGGAGATTTCCAGGGTATTGAGGTATTGATACAGAAGTAGGTTACGAACATAGAACCTGTTGAGGGCCTCGTTACCCCTCCAACAGTAGGACTACATCGAGTGCCAAGCTCCCTTCCTAATGTGACTGTAATGCACGTATACTCTCAACACCAGTAAGATTCAGAAGTGTGTAAAAGAATTTCAGCCATCCCACCTTCAACCTCCACGTGAAGCCGAACCACAATAAGTCTTCTCGTGTTATGATGCCACGTCGTGACAACACTTGCAGGGATAGCCTTGAAGACTGCAAATTCAATTGGACTACCTTTAAACCGCGAGCTTAAACTGCTATTAAGATTTTAATAATTCAAACCATAGATTATGGCTGTTTAGCTGGCAAGTGGGGTGTACTGCCCTACAAGCAGATGTTACTGACATGTGATGGCCTGGGAGTGGGAAGTTCCGCTCACTTTGGTTTACATGCGACCAACAAAAATGTTTGGTAATTCAGCAGGAGGCATTGGGCATCCCGTCGATGACCTTCCTTTACATCTTGGGTTAATCCATTCATGCACAATGAGCCCGAATCTTCCGAACCTGACGCAGAATGGTGCCGCACGCTCGACACTTTAGTCCATCTGGCTTCAGTGCGCCTCCCTAAACGCTAATTATAACGAGTTCTTACCTTATGCAACGCGTACTGGCGTTCCTCACCTATGATGCGCCTCATTAGATGGCAAGCTTCATGGCCAATTATAGATTCAACTCTACCCCCCTGCAAAGTGGGACGAAATAATCAACTCTACTAAAGCTGATTTTGGTATGTAGGACTAGGCGGTCTCTAGCAGATCAAGAAGCCTGGCAACCTCGGGTGCTTCCGGGTCACCCCCGTGTTCTTTCCAAGCGCCAGTCAAGTCATCTGCATGTTCCATCATGACATTGTAAGCGTTCTGTTGCCTATGGCCGATCCGGCGTATTATTAAAAGATATGCATTAAACGATGTAAGCGAGTAGCTGTTTGACCATAAGTGTATATCTCCTCTATATTTCAAGCTTAAATTAGAGATAGAAAGGTATTATTCTCTCTTTTAATAATTCTTTATAATTAACCTTAAATATAGCATTTTAAGATAAAATATCTAAAGTAATAATAGCCTTAATATAATAAACTAGTTAATTAAATATAATATATATAAACTACTATTAAATACTATTTAACTTATTTAAATTATTTTACTTTACTTTATATTTTATAGTAATTAAGTCCCTTAAGAAGTTTATTTTCTATTAAAATTCTTTTAGTAAATAGTAAAATTAAGCTAATAAAGCTATAGATTTAATACAGTAAAGTTATTTTTTTATTAATATACTTTACTTCTTTACTTTAAATATCTTTACTCTTACTTTAAAACATATTAATAGCCCTCTAAAGTCTATCTTATAACTTATTATTTTAAGCCTTTAATTATTTAAGATTTAGCCTTTTTATTACCTTAAATAGCTTGCTTTATAGCTTACTAAAAAATTATTATTAATAATAGATTTTTATTCTCTTTAGATTATTACTTTTTTCTTCTTTTATTATAGTAGCTAAGTAATATCTATTCTTAAGTTTTAAGTCTTAATTATATACCTTTTTAAGATATTCTTAGATCTGCCGCCAGTCTATGCTTATATACCGAGGTTTAGGTGTAAATATGCATCGGGAGCGTATGCTTCCTGGCTCACTAAGAGCACTATTTAGTGAATTAATGGGGAAGGCGTTGATGTACTTGAAATCTTATCCATAAAGTCAAGTAATCCCTGCTTGCACGTGACGCCCAGTGCCTGTTCAACAGTAGTCACCTCATTCGCCAGGCAATACGACAAGTCTTGCATATCGCGATCCGGTATTTTGATAAGTATACAAATGGTTCCATGATAATAATAAATATAGCTATTACATTATATTATCATGTCTATAAAAAGAACTCTATCCTGTACCAGTACTTATATTACATTTAATGCTGCTTAATGCGACTCTGCCTTAAACTTACTATAGTTATTATATAATATGCGTTTAACTATTTTTATTAGTTAGCAGGTAAATAGACTCTACTCTAACCTTCTTAATTGACTCTACCCCCTGCAAAGTGGGACAGATAAACGGACTCCACTACGGTCGATGAGAGCATTGGTTACTAGGCCTCAGCTCCTAGGATATCTATTTTTTATGTACAGAAAACGCGTGGACAACCGTCAAAATCAATCGCAGCATCGAGGGCCATTCTTCGCTGTGATTGGGGGGGAGGCCATGCTGCCCCAACTTTTTGGACCCTACAAAGTGGCTTGCCCACTTAGTAAGACCCTACGGCTAAATCAATTTTGTTGAGGACTCATATTATGTCACTCCCCTCTCACCGTAAAAATTAACATGTGATGGGACATGGGTAGAGCTCCCTCTACTCTACAATGCCCAAGTATGCCTCGAGCTTCACCACCCTGTTGATATGACATAGAGAATTTCTATACTGAGACAAGTCTAGTGCTACCAAGCTTCGTAATGCGTTGACTCTCCCAATGTGAATAATATGTATAGTATTTGGAAACAACTTCCCATTAATCTTAATCATGACACTAAAAGAGCTAAGGAAGCTAATTAGCCAAGACCCTAAATCAACATCTGTTGGGGAACAAGAACTCCTGATTGAGGGATGCCTTATGACGTTTATTTTAGTTGACAATAATATATAAAATGCTAATCAGATTCTTATCCATCATGACCGCATGAAGGCGTGGAAGCTTTGAGCAGCTATTCAAACTTGTTCAGTTCCCCAACAAAGCCCCCAGTCCAGGAAAATCACATAACAACTCCCACTGCCACGGCAGCACCACCAGGTACTTTCCATCTCTCGACCCACTCTCCTCGTCGACCATTCGTCAAGTCAATTGACTTTATCCCGACTAGAGTAATCTATCTTCCCGATCATGACTTCCGTCTCGACCTCGACTGTCCCCGGGCAGCACCCAGCATTTCGGCACACCGTCACTGACTCCGAGTCCTCGACCTCCCTTTCTTCGCTCTCTTCGGTGGATACCAACCAGGCCAAGCCTACACATGGCCGTCTCCTTGATACATATGGCAACGAGTTCACGCCCCCCGACTTCACCATTAAGGACATCCGCGATGCCATCCCAAAGCACTGCTTCGAGCGATCCACCTTCAAGGGCTACATTTACATCCTCCGCGACATGATCTGCCTTGTCACCACCTTCACCATCTTCCACAACTTCGTGACTCCTGAATACATTCCCTCCACGCCTGTACGAGCCCTACTCTGGGGCCTATACACTACGCTCCAGGGTCTCTTTGGAACTGGTCTCTGGGTCATTGCCCACGAATGTGGCCATCAAGCGTTCTCTGAGTCTCGCCTTGTCAATGACGCGACGGGCTGGGTCCTTCACTCAGCTCTTCTCGTCCCATACTTCAGTTGGCAGATCTCTCATGGCAAACACCATAAGGCCACTGGAAATATGGAGCGTGACATGGTCTTTGTTCCTCGCACTCGCGAGCAGCACGCCACCCGCATTGGCCGCATAGCCTACGAGCTCTCTGAACTGACTGAGGAGACCCCCGCTTACACCCTGCTTAGGCTGGTCATGAAGCAGCTCGTCGGTTGGCCCAGCTACATCCTCACTAACGTCACTGGTCACAACTACCATGAATGTCAGGGTGAGGGTCGCGGCAAGGGGAAGAAGAACGGCTTGGGGGGGGTGTAAACCACTTCGACCCCCGAAGCCCCCTATATGAGGCCAAGCAAGCCAAGCTTATCATACTGAGTGATATAGGTATCGGGATCGCTATTGCGGCTCTTGTATATTTTGGTAACACTTTCGGTTGGACCAACATGCTTGTCTGGTATGGCATTCCTTATCTCTGGGTCAACCATTGGCTTGGTAAGTTTTACAATTACATAGTGTGTCCTACTCGTAACTCATGAAAATAGTTGCCATCACTTTCCTCCAGCATACTGATCCGACGCTTCCTCACTATACTGCGGACGAGTGGAATTTTGTTCGTGGTGCTGCTGCTACGATCGATCGTGAGATGGGCTTCATCGGCCGACACTTGCTCCACGGTATCATCGAGACCCACGTCCTACACCATTATGTTAGCACCATTCCCTTCTACAACGCCGACGAGGCCTCAAAAGCTATCCGACCCGTCATGGGCGACCACTATCGCTCCGACACTAAGGATGGCGTCTGGGGCTTCATTCGCGCCTTGTGGATTAGCGCCCGGATGTGTCAGTGGGTTGAGCCTAGTGCTGAGGCCGAGGGAGCTAGCAAAGGTATCCTCTTCTTCCGCAACCACAACGGTCTGGGTACCAAGCCTGTCGTTCTAAAGAAACCCGAGTAGTGTCCAGATTCTCTACAATGATGATGATGTTCTGTGGTGTTGTAGCGTTGATGGTTTTCTTTGGTCATCGAACCGGTTATGTTTAGTGATGTACGTCTCGTCATCTCGTCATTGCAAAAGGTACTCCCTCGATAGTGAAAGGATGTGGAGAAGGGGTGCGCTAAGCCTCCAGCATTGTACCTAGTGTTGTTTTGTAGAAATACTGAGTGCTTAGTTGATTATGCTGTTGTGATTTTACTACAGGAGTCGTCAAGGCCTTATATGTTCATGTTATCCCCTGACATCCAGGTACAATAGTGTACATTTTCATGCCTGGTGCATCGAGCCTCTCTTCATCGTTTAGTCTATAGCAACCTCTTGCGGCCCTCGGCCTTATGCAGGAACAAGGTGCGCCTAGAGAATGATTCCGTAAAGGAGACCCACTCATGATTCTGTAAGCCCAGCCATCCCAGTCTTTCCAATGGCAGTACAAGTAGCAAAGATGCTACTCAGGACAGGCTTGCTCGGGCAGTTCCGAGCGGTCCCGCCCACAGTCCCCGACACATAAAGTCGACGAGCGAAATTGGTAAACAGAAGGAAAAGAGGGCCAGGAAAGGTCTGACAGGAGCATAGAGGCAGAACAACTAGAATGGCTATTAGTAGAGAAACACCCTCGTTTGAGCGGAAGGGAGCAGTTTTGGACAGAAATGGTGTACCAACTCAAATCTGTAGAGGAGCAGCTAAATCTGGACGCGAGAGCGGGGACACCTGTACTTATAGTTTTACGCTGCATAGCTGCCACTAGGGCGGCTAGGTCAGCCTATGAATAAAACAAACAAACAAACACACAAGCTTCGGTCCTGGGACAAGGGTGGTCCTGGGTGTTGAGATGGTATAACTATGATAGTCTGATCTATTAGTGGCTAGGACGTGGATACTATGTAAGGAGCTGTGCTCCTCTTAGATATATATAACTTAGAACAAATAATAATATAATTAACTCTTTTTTATTAAGTTATAAGCCTAGAGGGTATTGTTTTTCTTTAATTATAAAGCTAAGTATTTCCTGGCTTCTTTTGTATTTTCCCTAGATAATATAAGAAATTAAAAGGCTTTTTTCTACTATATATATATATTTAGCTTACCTAAAGCTATTTTCCTTTATTAGATTTTTTATAAAGCTTGTAAATTAGCTAATTAAATATATTTAAAAACCTTTCTATAAGGACCTTTAATTATCTATCTAAAATATTAAATTTAAATTCTTAATTTTAAATAACTAAGAGACTTTAAATTACAGTCTAGCTAATAAACTTACTAAACTAGACTAATCCCTTAGTCTAAGATTGTTAAAGCTCCTTGGTTAGCAACTTATACCTTATATAAACTAAGACTATCTAAAATGTAATTTATAATATAATTAATATTAGATTATTATATCTTCTTTAGATAGTAAGAGTAATATAAATTATTCAGACTACTATGCATTTTTATTACGATCCTAGCTGTTACGTTACGTAGACCCTACTATTTTCCTCCAGTCACAAGAGTAGACCCACCATCTCACATTAAACCAACCTTCCAAACAGTTCGGTCTACTAATAAGATAAGGGACCAATGACTCCTATGCAACGGTCTACTCAGACTAATACATAAAGAGCACCAGTCTTAAAAAGACCAATCCTAATATACTATCAGTCCTTATAAGGACCTCTAAGTATATAGACTATGTTTATTAGCACTTTTATAGATTCTAGCTTACTAGCTATTAATATAACTTCTTTATATTAATTAAGCCTAACTTATATTAAATCTACTATTAAGAGATATAATACTTTAATAATACTTAGTATATACCTTATAATATCTATTAATAATAAACCTAGTATAGCTTAGTTTAATATAATTAGACCTAACTATTATATTAATAAGAAAGAAATAGAATTTTATTACTTAATAATAGGTTTTATAGGTTTAATAAGTTGGAGAAATTAATATAAATTAGGGCAGTAATATTAATTTATTTTATTAAATATTAGAAATATATAATTACCTATAAGCAGGTATTAATCTCTTTCTTAATTTCCTTACTTTTATTATTTAAGTAATAATTAATTACAGTTTTCTCCTAGGTTTTATTTTTCTATTAATTAAAGCTTTTAATAGTTTTACTACTCTTGGCAAAGGGAACTAGCTAGCAACTTATAAGGCAATTATATTATAGGCTGTATTTTATTTAAGAAGACATTTTAGTTATTAATACTTTTATGCCTTAATAATTATATTAAGTAATAGATAAGTATAAAGCCTAAAAGTTTAAATTATATATAATTATAAAAAGGTATAGGGTAAATATAGATAAAGTTATATTATTATTACTTCTGTTTAGCTAATATATATAAAAACCCCTTAACTTTATATCTATTTATTTTAAAGGTATAGTAAATATATATAAAGATAGAAGGGGTACTAAGTAGGTATTTTAATAGTATTATATCTAGCTACTAAAGACCTTAGTTAAATTAATTTTAAATATAATAAAATAAGGCTTATAAAATTAATATAAAAAGATTAGTTAAATAATATTAAGAAGTTATACTAAAGAGGTTAAATTAAATATAAAAAAGGATATAATATATACTAAAGTTATAGGAAACCTGTGTTCCTTTTGTTTGTTAATATAGGCAGCTATATAACCTTTCTAATTCAGCTAAGATCTTACTACTACTACTGCAGCTATTGCTGCTACTATACGTAGCCACGCTAATTGGCTATAGCCATACATCTCCATGTACCTAGCATCAGTTAGCACCCGATGGGATATACTCGAGCAAAATAGCTTAGATAGTTAACACTAACTCTATCCTAACCCCAAAGGTAGCAGCCCCAGATGTAGGCCTTGTCGTCCGGGCAAGGGAATCTTCCATCAGAGTAATGATGGATCTTTTTGCCAAAAATATCATCGCATATGTCGTGTTTCAGACAGAGGCATTGGTCGGCCGGTTTGGTGCCGGAGCACCAGTCGCCGACACGACCGGAGACGAGGGACGTTAAGCCGGCGAAGACGAGGGTGAAGAGAGCCTTCATATTGACTCGTCGTTGATGTAGTTGTCTTGTCTGAAGGAGAAGATGTATAAACGAAGTGCTTTGGACCGGATTAAGTATAAATAGGGATAAACTGGACCTCCTCGAGGTTATATAGTAAAGCCGCTATATAGCCAAATACTCTAAGCCTATATCTACTGGCATAGTTATTAGCTATTAAAAGTTTAAAGTTAAAGATCTTTATTTTTAATTTCCTAGCTAAGAGGTAAATAAGCTAATAATATTTTACTATAATATATATAAATAATATAATAGACGTAATGCCCTTTATTAGGCCTTATTCTATTTTTGCATTTAGCTCTAGACTGCCTTGTCGCCGCTTAAATGCGGCATGCCGCTAGAATACGGCAGTGTTTTGCTTTTTACTAGTAAAGCCACTTTAGCTACTATGCTATTTTTATCTCGCTAAGCTATTATTAGCTGATTCCAAGATGCTATGTGTAAAGCATTAGCTATCTCCTTAGTATTTGTAAGTTTTTAAGACCCTTATGTTACGGGGTCCAGGACAATTAAAATGCGCCAAGTTAAAGGATAACATACATAACAAGCTTATGTAATAAATAAGTAACGTGCATGATAAGTGAACGTCGCAGACAAGCGAGTGTCGCACTTGCTGATTTGTTAGTATTTACACCTTAAAATATTATTTCTTTAAACAATTCTCCTAAATTTAACTTAAGCTTAAAATAGATAAGTCCTGGATATTATCACTATTGTACAGTATAAGTGCGCTGCATGCTTATCACATACGTTATCCACTCGAGAGCTAAAATAGTCATTTTGACTAAACTTAGTTCACAGACCCCATGATCACTATCAGCTAAGGAATGGGGGCATCAGCGCTCACCTCTTCGTCATCAAATATCATTTATCAGCCAAAACTGCTAACCATCGGCGAAGTCCTGGCTTAGCTCCGATAACCAGGCTAACCCCCCGAGCGAATGACGGGGCCGTGACGACCCTAGCGTCTGCCGAAGGTGGCCCCGATGATGGTGGCTGGTAAGCGTGTTAGGTATAAACTGCTTTTTCTGCTGGCCTGGGGCTGGCACCATTCCCGGCTGTCTGGGCTGGAGGGGTGGGAACTCAACACAAGGTACCGGGGTTTAGTTACGAGATCTAGCTGGTGCAGCTTGTGGATACTTCTTCTAAACATTAAGGCCAGTGAGGGGATAGAATAATTAGAAAGCATACAGCCACAAAGGCGGTGCAGGGTTAATCTGACCTTCTAAACTATGTCCCGGCCTCCCGACGAGTTCCCCCCAGCGTTGCGGATGCAGGGAATACGTGTGAGGTGTTAAGGTCAGGTCCGCTTTCTCACGGCTCTTGTGATGTCGTACCGTCATTATTGCGGACGCGATCTGATGCGTGTTGATCAGGTAAAAAGCAATAGGCCAGACTTGGAGGGTCGGAAACAACGGCTCAACAGACTACTACCACCACAAATTTAGTACCACCGCCAATCACTAGCCTAAGCTATACTGGTGTTACACCGGCTGACTATTACTCAGGCCTCAGAATAGGTTGACGAACTAAGCTTGCACCCGTTAGAAGAATATAAGACGTGACCTTTCCTCTCACCTGTGAACCATGTCATCACAAAACACCAACACACAAATCTCATCGATTCTTCAAACAACATCCCATATATCAACCTTAACCGTGAACAAAATGGAGCCTAAGACCGTTCTCGTTCTCTTCGGCGCCTTTGTCGCCACCACTACGGCGGCCCCGGCCCCAAACAACAACAATGACATGTCAGCCACTTGCCAGTGGCAGGCCGTCGGCGGCTGCGAGACGGACTGGAAAGACAGGTGCGACGCCCAATGCGTGGGCGAGGCAGTGAAAAAGGGTTATAAGTGCGAAGATGTCACTTCTCATATCACTGGGTCGAACTGTTTGTGGACCTACAGTACTTGCGAGTGTACCTGCTTCTCAAGCCTTCCTAATTGTGGGAAGTAGGGTTCTCACTGGAGTAGTATTTACTATCTATGTTATTTTGCCCGGGTGTTTTCTTCTTGTGATATATGTAACTTACAAAAATACAAAAAGAGATAAAAAGAGAGACTTTCTTTAAGTATCCTATCACTTATTGTAATGGCAAACAGCACCTGTTTACCTTTTTTTATATAAGAGACTAGCGCGGCGCTTGTATATATATAACCTGTTTACCTTTTTAAGAAAATAATATTCCTAATATTGCTTTAATATTATAAACTTTATATAGATTAATATCCTTACTAAAGTTAATATAAATATAGCAATTTATATTAGCAGAACTGCTAAAGCTTATAGTATTTATATTTAAAGTAGAAGCTAGATATATAGGAATAAAAACACTTCTAGGTATAGTTTTCGTAATAAAATTCTTTTAAGGCTAATGCTAAAAATAAATATTAAGAACTTACTTTAGGTAAATTATAATTTTTACTAATACTTTATTTTTTTCTTTATAATAATATAAATCTATAAGAAAGATATTATTATTAATATATTAAAGAGATATATAGAGTTTTACTTTTTTATTAATAATACTAATTTTGCCTTAATAACTAAATTAGTTATTACTTAAATTAACTATATTATACTTAAGGAACTTAGTTAGGGTATCTGCTAATATGCCTTAATACTTTAAGTTATTTTTTACTTTTTATATTAAAAGTAAGAGGTTAGGACCCCGAACGAAATTACCGTAGGGTGATCTGTCTTCAGGCCGAGTGGGCGCCATTGTTGTTAAGTATTCAAGTGATCGAAGAGAAGTTGAGCCTTTCCATGCATTAAAATATTAACACGGAGCAGTGCATACTTATAATTAGAATCCCTTCCCTGTTGGGAATGAGCCATCGGCATGTACTTGAAGTGGAGCTGATATATAGCAAGCAAAGACAGTGCACCTGCTAATTTAATTGTGTGGTAATATGGCAGTTGCCTAAGATATTTCTGGTTTGATACATATGAATTTAAGTACGCGGTGAGTAGACAGCAAAATTTGAGAGATTTGTAGCTTGTCTGTAAATAATGATGACTTCGCAATGTCTTTCTGCTTTATTACACTCCACATTCGCGTATGTCGGAGAATTTATACTCCGAATCGACAGCACAATGCTATCTCCTCGTGACTTTCCTTATCTAAAACATGTCAACCAACATGATTTTGTTCTCGCTTCATTTATATCATCCCAGCCAATTCAAGCTTCTCCTATAACCTTCTTCTCAAGCTCACATCCGTGCAGATACCTTATCACCACCACCCATGAATCAACACCTCTGACACCCGCCTCAAAAAACACAACCTTCACGAGACGTATCCTCATAAGCAAGCTCTGTCAAGATATCTGACATTATCAAAGACATAATGGATAAGGTTTGGCTGATCCGGCGCGGGACCAAGCTGGAACCAGGAGGGAGAAAGAACCCTAATAATTTCTATTATTACTATAAATAAGGCTTTACTATCTATTATACCTACTATAATAAAAAGTCTAATAAGCATTAGTAAGCATTTCTATATTCCTTAAGGTATTAAATAAAGCTAGCATTTAAAGCCTTTAAAGATAATAAGGAAACTAGACTAAGATAATAGGTAACGAGTTTAAGAATTATTTTATCTTAATATCTAGGAGAATCCCTCTTAGCTAGATAGTCTTAATATTTAAGGTTATAGGGAATTCTATAATACTAAAAAGCTTAAAAAGACTAAAGTTATAAAGAAAGCTAACTCTAAGTACTATATAAGTATAAGGCCTTATAAAAGTCAAGCTATAGCAAATTATCTATTTAATTATGTTTTACTTGCTAATAAAGCTGTTTTAAAAGATATAAAAAAAGGTAAATTTGTTATTAAGGCTATCTTATTATTGTGGTTTGATGGTCACTTGGGATGGGGATGGGCGAGGATCCTGACGGGCTATCTGTTAGAGTTGTGGACATTTCTGATATAGAATAAATACCAGACTGAGTTCTGTATTAGCTTCTAAGGATCTAAAGAAGATCTTGCGGATAGTGTCTGGCCTGGGGATTTGGCACTTCTCTGTACTGGAAGCTGTTTGGAAATTCGGAAGTGGGGTTACTACAGGAACCAAGAGGATGAGATGTGGTAAGGAAGGTCGAAGAACCAACCAGAAAGACTTTCGTCAAGACAAAAGAACAATCACTCAGTTTTGACACGAGAATACATAACGAATCTACACAATGCCTGATCTCATCATGTCAACACAGCCAAAACCTTTGCAACTAAATACGACCCTCATTCAAGTCTGTCTCGTAATCGTGGCAGCAAACCTTGACACGTGCTCTTGACTCAACGTATATCCTTCGTTATCCACCCATCTCTCGTGGTCTTGCAAATCTGTCGCGGAGTTTTCCCCTCCGCATCTCCCCGATCCATCAACCCTTCTCTTCTAGCTTTCACCAGGACTGCCAGCATATCTTCCTGAGCTCTGATTCTCTCCTCGGATCTAGTAAGAATATCACGCCCTTTATAACTACCACAAGCAGCTCTATGAAAAGCAGTCTCTTTTTCCAGATTCTCTTGAGCAGGATCAGCACCACGCTCAAGGAGATACGATAAGGCTTCGGTCTAATGGAGGTTGAAGGCCGCAAGATGCAATGGCGTGTTTCCAGCATTATCAGTATCCGTGGGGCTTGCACCGTGGGCGAGCATGATTGATATAGCGGCTATGTCGACGGGATCTTGGTCGGTGATTGTAGTGTCGTCTCTATAGAGACAAAACAAGGTATGCATAGGGGTTTCGCCATTGTTATTGCGTACACTAGCATCGCCGCTTCTGTCGCATAAAAGCTCGAAGACAGCTGTGTACAGCTTGTTATGTCGGCTCAATGACCGGGTAACGTAGTGCAAAGGTGTATTTCCGTCATTGTCCTGAACGTTGATTGCCGTGGGATCGAGACTGAGGAGTAGTTCGATGGTGCTTGTGATGCTTTGGGCTATTTCCTTGAGATCAGGGAAGCCGTCGATCTCCACTGGCAGTTCACTTTGAGTGGCCCAGTGGAGAGGAATACTTCCTCGACCGTCGCGAGAGGACAATATGTCGGCAACAGCAACGGCAGTGCCTCTGCAATCAATCAGAGTTTCAACGACTTTGAAGTTGGCGTGAATACAGGCATTAAACAGCGCAGGTACTTCGTTAAACGAATCATGCTGATTCCAAAAGTTCAGCTCCCCAGGACCTTGCATTACCATGGTATTGGGATCGGCGCCACCAGCGATAAGCCTCTTAATTAACTCTGGGCTTGCCCACTGCACAGCCAAACTCAAGACTGTAGCGCTTGGCTTCCCCTTGTCATTCCAGAAGGGAAGAAAATCAGAAGCGCATGCACGCCGATCCAGCAGCAAATTCATCACTGCTTCGTTTTTGGTGGCATTAGCTCTATCTCCACCGGGAGGAACGAGAAACTGAGTACAGTAGAGATCTGCAGCACATAGTAATGCAGTGTGGCCATAGGAGCCCCGTGCATGGATGTCGGCGTACAGTGGTTGATTGTCGAGTAAGTACTTCACCACCTCGATATGACCCCATTTGGCGGCGCGGTTTAGCAGCTTGTAGCGGCGCTGCTTGAATCTGGCCTGCGCCTCGAGATCCTCGTCTTGCATAAAGTGGGTTAGAAGCATTTTGAGCACATCGAGACATCCACTCTGGGCTGCATTCAGAAAGCAATCCTCATTGTCATCAATGCCATGCTTCCCTATCAAAACGGCAGATGCCTCTGGGATGACCCAAGGTGCAGCGGCGAGATACTGCTCAAGGGTCTTTGCATCGTTCGAGCAAACGATCTGATATAGTAGTCCAAAGTCTTCAGTTTCATATAGAATGGAACCATCCTGATTAATCATTGTCATAGGCGTCGCGTAAGGGCGTCCAAATCCATGAGTTTCGGACTCTTCGTTTGGATCCACAGTGAATTGCTCATAGGGAAATTTGTAGTTGGAGCGTGGCGGCAGAGGCATGACTGTAGGTAGATGGTCAAGAATCGAGAAGGGTTTTGATGGGGTCACAACATGTGCGGGCTCTGGTCGGTACTTATACTTAAAAATGGGTTGGCATTCTAGGTCTGAGAAGTGGACCCGCAGCAGCAACATTATGGCCAATGGGAAAATATCATGCCTCAGCCAGAAATAACGGCTTGAACAGATATTACTGCGTAAAGAGAGGTTGTCTAAGTACACACTTCAGAGTCCGCCCCTTCACTCCACTAAAACCAAAAAGACGGGAGCGATCCTCTCGAATCTCAGCCTTGGTACACTGTAACTGTTCTTCATGAAGAAGCCCCAACACAAACATAATAGTGCAGCCAAAGTCCAGAAAAGTCATTTCCGACCTTGGAGTTCCAGTTACAAAAGTCTGACAAATCGATCTGGTACTTCTCAGCGATTGAATAGCAGCCGTCGCCATCATCAACCTCCCGAGTAAGGCGTGTCTTTGCAATGGGACTTTCAACGCCGAGGCATTGTCCGATCCACCTGGGCATAATAGACTGGAGTTCTCGTGGCCATAAACACATATTGCTATTAAGAATAAACGTTCTGCGGCCTCTGTTGTTTTACCTACCTCAAGCAATCCGCAAGACATAGCTTGTTTACGCTCTTTTCACTCTATATTCTCTTATTTTATACCAAGTCCCTCATTTATTGCCACTCTCCTGGTACACTCCTTCAGCCAGTCATTCAAGGTCCTCGTTCCTGCGTCGGATCAAGACCTTGCTTTCATTCTCAACGTGAGGTCAACTTGGGCCACCACTGTGGTTGCTCTGTTGCTCATCTCAATCCCCCTCGCTGTTGCAGATGTAGTCTGGGACAGGTCTGCCGCCTACGCAGTAGGCTGCTGCGGTTCCAGCAATGTCTGCGGTAAAGACCCAGACTACTGCAGCAAGGGGAAGTACATCAACAGCTGACTGCAAGGCTGAATGCAACCCAGGCAACTGGCCTTTGCAATACGTCAATGCTACCAAGTGTCCCTCTCAATGTCTGCTGTGTATTACTTATTTGAGCTACGAAATATATGCGTATAGACATGTATACTTCGCAATCTTGGGCACTTTATGCCAACAACCACGGAGGGAGCCTTTCGGAGAGTGGGCCCAAGGCGGATCAACACTGATCCGGGTAAGGTCATGGCAATTGCCCTTTATAGTCTTCTACAAGGGCCAACAGGAAAACGAAGTCTTTTATAATTTCTTCCTAGGTTCTTGCTTAGCACATCTGCGTAATTTCCCCATTCCACCACCAATATGAAGCCACTCATCGAAGAACTGATTGAGCATATTTGGTCGCCCCCGCGAGGTATCAAGCTGTAACACAAAAGCAGGAACCATCCTAATAATCTTCAGTATTACCGTTACTAGGGCTTTACAATCTACTGCACTTACTATAGCCTGGAGACAGACAGGCATTAGAATATACTTTTAAATTCCCTAAAGAAGCAAACTATCCTTATATTTAGATATTTTAAAGGTAAAAGGGATATAAATTAGAGTAATATCTAGCTACTTAAGGATCTTTTTTACCTTAAGGCATATAAAGATATATTGCTACTAAAAGGTCTTAATATTAGAGGTATCTAAGAACTCTATTATAATAAGGACTAGGAGATTAAATAAGCAATAGCTAGTTACCTCTATAAGTTTATCTTAGTTACTAATAAGTCAGTATTAAAGGATATTGCAAATAGTAAATTAATTATAAAGGCAGTTTCCTTAAGTTAGTTTAAAGGGTTTTTAGGGTAGGGTTAAATAAGGATATTAATAAGCTATCTTCTAGACATATAGATGCTTCTTAGCCGGCATTTATTTAGTATAGAGTTAGTTATTAGCTTTAATAGGCCTAAGAAGGATCTAGATACCTATATATAGCCTAGGGGTATTTCTCTTCCTGGTATAGGACGGTTCTCTGAAGTTCGTCTGTTGCTTTTCCACTATACTGGTCAAAGACCTAATCGCACTTTCTAAGGAAATAGGACAAGACGAAATATCGTCGATGCCGTCCTCCTGCACGACCGGGTATGTGACAGATCGCTTGCCCAATCCCTTGGCGGGGTTGGGGCATGTCTCGTTCTCAAGCCAATCGGCCATGATTTCCTTATATGCCGTGATCTTGTCATTGGGAACGAGCACTTCATCGTAGTAGTTTAACTTGCAGCAGGGATCCTGTTCTCCTTCTAGCTTGGAAGTATAGGTGTAAAACGCAGTGTCGAGTATCATTCTCACACGGTCGCTAGAGCATCCGCTACGGCAGAAGCCATCAAGATCTCCTTCCGGTGCTGAACCAAAATCACGACGGACTTGACAGTCAATGAAACGAAGGCCAGGCTTAGTCTTGCAGTAGTAGATGCGCATCTACACGTCAATGTAGGAGTACTAAGGACCTCAATACACCAGAACCTGTCCCAGATGAGGCCATGGGCCAATTTTGGTAGTCGCCAGGGCATTCGGGGCTGGTGTTGTACTCTGGGTACTCCCCCCATCGACAGGTATCGTCGAACCTCATACTCACATTGTCTGCCTTACGGCAAGCCGCCTGTACATGTGGTGGACCCGCACTTCATCGAGTTTGTATATGCAGACACTCCCCAAGCCATAGTAGTCTGGTCATAATGATCCCCTAAGTTCGTTATATATGTCGCGCATGACACATAAATGCTGCTGGTCTCAGCCAGACTCGTGATTTGGAACGTGCTGTCAGTGGCGTTGAAGCTATTCAAGTTGGGTTCTTAACCCTTTGCAACGTACTCATATAAAGTCTTGACATAACTTATAAGCATTAGAAATGTCAGTGTAACCGTCAGCTTGCTAATGAGTATAGCTTAATATAAATATATAGTTAGAGAGCTGGTCGACCCCGTAATATGCAGGAATAACGTCTGTTGTATTAATATAGAATACGATAGAATATTTACAAGAAGGGATATGCTGTTTTAATTCTTTCCCGCTTTTAGGTTAAGGAAGTAAGACTGATTTCACCTTCTAAGATTTATTAACAAAAGATAGTATATCTTATAAGCTTTTCTTTTTAACGCCGCATGCTAAAGCCACCTTTAGATATATATAATATCTACCCTTTAAATTATTAAATAGAGAAACCTACACTAAGAAAAGCTCAGAAATATTAAAAGTCCTAAGTCAACATTGCTTATATCTATAAATCGCAAAATAAGTAAACCCTTAAGAAGTACATAGTGGAAATACCTAAGCACGTGATGTAGGCATGAGTTGCCTTAGATCTCGAAAGGACACGTCTCTAGTTACCTATAAAATCTCTTTTCACTCTTCTAAAACATATCAACCACCAATATCTCGCATACTTCATGCCATGGCTACCGTTTCTGAACTAATCAAAGGTTTGTGGAAGCCCCCTCGTTCCCCTGGCATCTAATATCAAAAAGATCAATTAAATCAGACAGTTTCCGAAAACTTCGCTTATTATAAGTCCTAGGGATTCAACATATACCGCAACTACTATAGTAAAGGGTCCAATAAGCATTAGGCCATACTACTAGATTCATTAAAACGATAGACCTACCTTGCCCTCCGCTACCTCGAACAGGATAGCGAGTACGAGATTGATATTAGGAGGTGTATCCGTAAGTTTGGGATCTATTATCACCTGAACAAAGAAGACTATATGGAAGACATGGAAAGATTAAGGAAGCTGTTCCATCTTGAGGTATGCGAAGATCCAGAACTTAAAGGTCTTAATATATATTAAGTTTAGAAGATATCCTCTAAAGAAAATAATAAAGGGAAGGTTATAATAGTAAGAGGGCGTGTTTAATATGTGCTTGTTGTAGATAAAGCTGTCTTAAGGGACATCACTAAGGGCAAATTTATAGTTAAAGCAGTCGCTTATAAGTAAGATAGGTTTATAAATTAGGGCTAGATAAGAATTCTAACTAGGTACTTGTTAGGATTTGGCAATTACTTGTAATATCCGATAGGATAGATTAAGATACTATATTATTCCTCGGGCCTGAGGAAGAACTTGAAAAATGCATCTGGCCCGGGGAAGACTTAGTATTACCAACTAGTTGTTGTTCTGAAATACGACCTGGACTCTACCATTACACTGGTCAAACCCTTTGGCACAAGAGTGAGAAACTTCGAAAGGCCCGCGCAGCAAGGAGGCGGGAGCTATCTAGAAAGCTAGAGATACAGCCTTAAGTATTTTCAACACTCAACGAGGTTTTAATAAATCCGTTTAGCTACGTCAGTCCTTCGAAAACATATAATGGCATGCAAAAGCGTACTACATATTTGAAACCCATAGTGTTTAGGCAAGTCAAATAATATTCTAATTATGTTTTATCTTCAGTTCCGAATAAGAGGGTCTAGCAGCTCAATAATCCATTACTTTAGCTGATGTAGAATATAACTGGGATAGTTGCTGAGAATTCGCCTGTATTTATCGACTTTAAGGAGTCCAAGTAAGCGACGTTCTTACGTGACGTGGGGTGTGTTCTTTTATAAAACAGGCCAATTCCCCCGTTCTTCCCTTTTCTAAACTTAGCAAGCATTGCCAAACCCCGACAAATTAGATATCTCCTAAGTTATAGAATTATTAATAACTATAATAATGGCAGAGCTTTTAGAAATCTTAGACTTCTTATAGAAGCCCCTATAACAGTCTGGGACTATAAAATGCCCTCTTATTAACAGATTCTACCTTAAGAATTTCTACTACTACTAAAACTAGGGATTTATAATTTACTATATATATTATAGCACTAAATCTGATAAGTATTAGAAGACTTTACTTAAAGTCCTTAACTAGCAAACCATATTATCTGTTAGGTATTATGAAAATAAATGCCTTTAGAAAATTAATAGAAATTATTATATTGGCCCTTATAAAAACAAAGCTAAATATATGGCGTTATTAGAGACTTTTAAGAGCCTATTTTGACTTGTTCTTAGAGAGGATCTATTACTATTAAAAGACCTTAATATTAAGGGCATAAGGGATATTTATTAGAAAGAATACCCTAAAGCAGAGAAGAGGATGGCAGGGGCGTTATTCTGCTTTATACTGGTCGCTGATAAGGCAGTGCTTGCAGGCATTGCATGAAATGAATTTGTAGTAAAGGCACTTGGCTATGACTGGGAAGGTCGTCTCGAACACGGTGGCTGGGGTTGGGTCTGGCTGCAAACAGGCCGCTTGCTTGAGCTATGGGAAGGACTTCTGCTTTCACAGCTGATGGACACTAGTAAGTATTATTTGCTGGGGTTTGAAGGCCTAGAGATGAACTTGGCAGCCTACCTCTGGATTGGAGATATGTCTATGCCTCCGTTGCGCGATTGCTCTGAAGCTCAGATGGCTGATCCATTGAGTGTATCTGTGAGGCCTCGGTTCAGATTTGACCATGAACTTATATTAGATGAAGATGCAATATAGCTTCCTTGCAAGTCATTATGCCCATAACCAACTGTATTACATACCCGTAACATTGTTAAACCACTTCTACTTAGTTGTGCTAGTCATTTCGCAACCTTTAGCGTCCGCCCTCACCCTTGAAGGGCTGATAGGGGTCCATATCGATACAAAGACTGGGAGTCGAGATGAACAGATAATATGGTGGCACCGATACATGAAATTAAATTTGACATCTAGTCATCCATGCCTATCTATCTACACACCAACGCAAACCCAATATTTAGCCCAAAGCGCCGTGCATTTAGTGCCGACCGCCGGATTCCACTTCGCCAACTGAGCCATAGTGATCTTGTAATACTTCTGGATCGAATCACATGTTGTTGTAGAAGCTACCTCATGGAACTTCTTGCAGTTGCTTACCATTCCAGGCTGAATTGGCGACGGGGTCTTAACCCCGTTGTCTGGCTTGGTAGGAGTGCCTCCAATTACCCCGACGCAGACATTGTAATCCGCCCATAGACCAGTGCATTTCGATCCAACCGCAGGATTCCACTTGACAAAATCCGCCAAAGAGATCTTATAATAGTTTTGGATGGATTCGCAGGTCGTGGTCTTCTGAACCATGTGAAACTTGTTACAGTTGCTTACCATGCCCGGCTGCACAGGTGGAGGCGTCTTGATACCATTGGCGGGCTTGGTTGTAGTAGCAGTCTTGGTAGTGGTCTTGGTGGGAGGCTTCCAGCCAATAGTTGCAACGCAAACCCAGTAGTTCGTGAGTAAAGATTTGCAGTCCTTACCAACGGCGGGGTTCCACGAGAGGAATGTTGCAAAGGGGAGATTGTAGTAGTTCTCAATCGAGGTGCAGGTTGTTGTTGACTTGATCTGATGGAACTTCTCACAGTTCTTAACCATACCGTTCTGAATGGGAGAGGGAGTTTGGATACTATTCGCAGGTTTAGTCGTAGTGGGTTTGGCGGTTGTTGTCGTGGACGGCTTATACCCCTCGACGCTAACACAAACCCAGTACCCGACCCAGAGTCCACTGCAATCTTTGCCAACGGCCGGGTTCCACGTCAGGAACAAAGAGAGCGGCAGCTTGTAGTAGTTCTCGATCGAGGAGCAAGTAGTAGTCTTGGCGATCTGGTGGAATTTGTTGCAGTTCTTGGCGATGCCTTCTTGGATCGGTTCAGGGATCTGGACACCAGTTGCCGTAGGCTTGGGAGTAGTTGCAGAAGGCTTTGCAGTAGGGGTTCCGGGAATACTAATGCAGTAGTAGTAGCCTGCCCAGATGCCACTGCAGTCTTTGCCAACAGCTGGATTCCACTTGAAGAACGTATCGAAGTTGAATGTACTATAGGTAGATACGATCTTGGCGCAGGTTTCACCCTTTGCAGCCATATGGAATGAAGTACAGCTCTCAATAAGCCCTTCTTGTGTAACAGTCGGCTTAGAAGGGCCAGTTGGCTTGACCGAAGTTGTAGTCGTTATTGTTGGGGGGCTAGTGGGCGTTCCAGGAACGCCGACACAATACCAGTACCCAGCCCAGATGCCACTGCAGTCTTTATCGATGGCGGGATTCCACTTGAAGAAGCTATCGAAGTTAAAGGTCTTATACTGTGCAATGACCCTGGCGCAAGTGTCTCCCTTCTTGGCTTGGTGGAAGGAGGTGCAGCTCTCGATCAGACCGTCTTGTGTAGGGCTGGGCTTCTTGACTCCTGTTGGCTGGGCCGTCGGTTCAGCCGTTCGTGTTGGAGCCGTGGGTGTTCCAGGAACGCCTACGCAGTACCATGTATCAGCCCAGATACCGCTACAGTCGTCCTGAACTGCCGGGTTCCACTTGAAGAAGTCACTGAAGTCAAACGTCTTGTACTCTGCGATAATCTTTGCACAAGTGTCTCCTTTCTTGGCCATATGGAAGGCTGTACACGTATCAATGAGGCCATCCTGTGTAGGGCTGGGCTTCTTGTCTCCAGTGGGTTCGGGCTTAGAGCCATCGGTCGAGCTCGCCTTGGGAGGGTTATCCTCGCGAGGAAGTCCATGGTTGACTTCCAGACAGTAGGAGTGGCCTTGCTGGATGCCACTGCAGTCGTCCTTGACACTGGGGTTCTGTTGAACGTTAGCCGTGCCTCACAGACAGCCGTGCCTTAATTCCTTACATATTCGACAAACAGCTTGTGCTCAAGACCGTAGAGATCTTCAAAGTATGCACAGTCCTGAGACTTATCGCCGACAATATCCCAAAAGGTGCAGTCAGATGCAATACCTGGGTCAGTTATAACAGTCTCCCTTCGGACCCTTCGGCCTCGGGTTGCCGTTACACTAACGCAGAGTAGGCCCTGAAGAAGAAGTGAGACACGCATGGCGGCTGTCAGTTCCTGGAATGTTTGACAAGGCTGGCGTGGAGAAGAGCGATAATGGCGTACTGGGTAATAGAAAGGCATTCAACGCGTTAAGTACAACGGTTCATTTCAATCATCGCTCGGTCGCAATAGTAAAGCCGCGCAAGTTGAGTCATCTCATGATCTCATGGTCCTCTCGTGCTCGCATTGTCTGGCCTCGTCGGCTTGGTACCCGAGTGTCCTGTTCCTGGTAAAATTGAGCAGTAGAGAGGACCAACAGGCTTGGCATTGAGTCCCGCGCACCGAAAATTTTCCCTGTCTTCTCATGCAGAGCCTTTGCATGCTGGCATGCATACTGAAGTTCAGTGAGGCGTTCGGGTCCATCGCCAAGTCTGCCTAATGCCGAGGACCGAAACATTCGCGAGAACCAAGATCGGTTAGAACTACAGCCGTAACAGAGTTCATGTCCTTTTTTTTTTTGTTACAAGGGTAAAATCATTCAAAAGTTCCTGCATTCACGAAGACCGGGACCGAGCGACGGATGTTACGTAGTATTCCGCTTTTTTAAGCTTGTTGGTTGTGTTTGTTTGTCAACATTGGTGGATTCGGTTGATAAATCGAAATGATGACCCAGTCGATCCCTGCGCGATACCTGCGGCAGGGATGAAAACCAAGAAAATCTTATTGGTTCTGAGTGTCCTTTTAGGCTTCATGATAGCATTATGGTTAAGTTCAGACCTCATCTCCGCTTGTGACATGATCTGGGGCCCTTGCATATGGGGCCAACTGAGGTTTTTTTATTGACTGACCCCGGATTTATCATTTATCTGTGGCCATGTATCTGCTCACCATGAGCCAATTCGCTTCTGATCTGGAACCACTAATTTCCAACTTCGGTCCTGATCTGCAAGATGGACTTACCTTTCTGGAAGCAGCCAGTACGTTGCTCTGTGATTGAGTTGGGACTTTGGCGATTCTGCATCTCCATGCTAAACCTTACACAAAGACTTTGTAGTTTGCGATTTATACCTAGCCCAGTTAGTCAATCTTCCTGGTTCTGATCGACTGTTGAGTAATGAGGTAGAAGTTATTGAGGTTATCTAAATGTCCTAATGAGCTACGCGTACATGGTACCATCCAAAGGTCGAGTATCAACCTGTTCAGAGCTACAGCCTCCCAATAACTCCAATCTCTGGGACCATGAAACTGCTCACTCAGAATCCCAGCCAGAGATAGGTGCCACACACAAGGCTACACCAGGAACCAAGCTCTCTTGACAATCGTCCTTTTTCAGAGAAGGATTTGCTTTAAGTAGAAGGCCATCTGCGCAAATGTCGTTGTCCTGACAAATACCACTGCAAGTATCTGACTCAGTAACGACATACCACTTTCCGCACCTCAAAGTAGTGCCCTCAGCGATCTTGGTGTTTTCCGGTGGCGATACTCGCAGAAGATTGGGAGTATTTCCACTACTAACCCTGAGCGGGATGGAATCTCTCTCTGTGGATGGCTGTCGAAGCTGTGCAAGAGCATCCGCGGTGCCTAGAGGACCAATACAGACGGACTTGCCGTAAAAGTCTGTTCCTCCCTGGAGATTATTGCAGTCGCGGTCCACCCAGCTGTTGTACTTACGGATGGTGTCCCAGCGAATCCCGAGGCCTATTTCGATACTCAGGCATGTATCTTCAGGCTTAACATAGTATGTCTTGCAGACTGTAGGGAGGCAGAGCTTGAGACCCTCAGGTATCTTGTGACAGTCACGAATAAGCTCTTGGTTTCCCATATAAAGAAGTCCTCCAGATACTCCTGCGGCTTTGGAAATTGAATCACAGGTATCGCCCTCTTTGGTCGTGTACCACTTGTCGTTCAGGCAAAACTCCTCCTCTTCTTCCTCTTCGTCCTTCCTTGTGAGAGGTGGAGGAATCTCTGTCGGACCTGAGCCTCCGCAAATCTTGTATATGCGCTCTAGCTCCTTCTTGTAATCCTCGTTATATACGGAGTATTGAGAGGACTGCATTAGAGCAAGACGTCTACGATAGCATGGATGGCAAAGATCTTCTTTGGCCATCTTTTCTCCCAGCTCAGGAAATTCGCTAATGATGTCTAGTTGTGTCAATCAGCCTTTGTAACACTTCCTTGATTCTTCGTGACATACCATTGCAGTATTTCTTGGTCTTAGGATCCTTGACGCAAGTCTCATTCCAACCAGCCCAAATGTTACCTCCGTAGACCGTGGGAACCATAGTACTCTTCCACTCATCACCGGTGCATTCCTTGGAAACTGAATTGAACCATTGGCGAAGCGATGAAGAGCAGCTTGGAACACAGATCTCGTCGGTCAGGGTAACATTCTCAAGGGAGAATCGATAGCGTAAAGACATGAAATCGTGAATATAGGGATTGCAAGCAATATCGGCTGACAGGGCGCTGGCGCAAGCTGTCCCGACAGTATTAAGATCGTCAGATTCATAGATCCTAAAGGCACTCGCACTGGCAACAAGGCAAAACGTAAGAAGAGGTTTGAGGATAGCCATTTTTTGCATAGTCGCAGCTTGGTGAATGCAAAAGTGGGAAAGGTGAATGAATGGGCGTTTGATTCTCAAACTGGCGACTGAGTTGACCCCAAGTTAACCAACCATGTGTGTATACCGACGGTGCCGAGAATACAGGGTCCAGTCGAATCATTAGGCTGCAAGGGTTACTTTGACCCGGGGCGGCTACTCTATTGTTCCCCTTGTCTGTGCCGCAAATTGCCATGAAGATGCCATGGCCCGTGGGTTGCCATGCCGGAAGACGGATCGTGTAGTAAATCAGTTCATATGCCAAGACGGACAAATTGATAAAACAGAAGCTGCGAAAAAATTCTCTCAGGTCATTTTGCCTGTGATATGTAACGCTGTGTTGGTTGTTGGTTGTGTTTGTTGAAGTTGCGAACTTTCAGCCCCACGACTCCACGAGGCTAGCAGGGGCCTGCCAACCCGAACCAATCATGAAGGACCGAGACCACAGTGGCATGTGAAGTGGGATCCAGAGTCCATGAGGGAGTCAAAGCGAGTAGAGCTCGTCCATGGGTAGGGGCCAGATGGTCTTGTCTCATGTCCAAAGGGTCTCTCCGAACGCCGAAAAAAGAACATGGTTGTGAATTGATCGGACAATTAGTTGTTGTCCTTTAGAAGCAAGAGCTTTCTTTCTTTGCATCAGGCTTCTGAAAGCTACCAAATCAGACTGTTTTGCTTGACCAAGGCAAACGACGATTGTCATTTGTTGGTTTTGTAACAAGTCATCTTGAATTTGATCAATTCTTCCTCTTTTTGGCCCCATTGAATCATCATGCATCGCCGCATATGGTTGCTCGGCTTGCTACTGCTGTGTCTTTGTATAGCAGTAGCGGCAGACGACACGACATGCAGTGCGACCAAACGCTGTAAGAATGGTTGCTGTAACAAATCAGGAAACTGTGGCTTTGGTCCCGATTGTATGTGCCGTCTCTTCAAGATGTCCAATTTTGGCTGATTTTTTATAGATTGTGGAACAAACTGTCGATCGGACTGCGATCGCAAGTCTGAGTGTAATCCAGGTTTTGGCTCTAAATGGGCCGAGGAAGACAAATGTCCTCTCAATGTTTGTTGCTCTAAGCACGGATACTGCGGTGTGAGTATTCTTCACCTGAGACCTGACTTTATTGAGACCTGTTTAACACATGATAGACAACGAAGGACTTCTGTGGCTCCAAGAAAGTCAAACGCCCAAGCTGCTCTAAGAGTCGTGGCGTTGAGCGTGTTGTTGGCTACTTCGAGGGATGGGCACGAACACGTCCCTGCAATACCTTTTGGCCTGAACAGATTCCAATCGGACTGTACACCCATATCAACTTCGCATTTGCTACCATCAATCCGAAAACTTTCCTAGTCGAAATGAAAGACAAGGACAACGATGGCAACCTCTACGAGCGACTTACCGCATTGAAGAAGAAGGATCCGGATCTCAAGATCTACCTTGCAATCGGAGGCTGGGCTTTTAACGATCCAGGAAAGACTGCTACAACCTTCTCCGAACTGGCAACTTCCCAGGACAGTCAGAGCAAGTTTATCAATTCCCTCCAGTCATTTATGAGTCAGTACGATTTCGACGGCCTTGATCTTGACTGGGAGTATCCAGTTGATAAGGACCGAGGAGGACATTCTGGTGACTACAAAAACTTTCCCAAGTTCATGGAAAAGTTGAAAAAGACACTTGATCGTGGAGATAAAGGACTCACTATCACCCTTCCTGCATCATATTGGTATTTGAGATATTTCGACATCAAGAGACTGGTAAGTCCGTCCCTACCTAGTACGTGACCCATTGACTGAACACTCTGGACAGGAAAAAACTGTCGACTTTTTTAACATTATGTAAGTATTACACTTGATGCTTTTCGGATCATGGCGACTAATATCATAAATAGGAGTTACGACTTACACGGTGCCTGGGACCAGAAGGCAAACTGGACCGAACCGTATCTCAATGCCCATACGAACCTTACTGAGATTGATCTTGCTCTCGACTTGCTCTGGCGCAATGACATTAATCCCGATAATGTCGTTATGGGTATGGGCTTTTATGGTCGCGCCTTTACGGTCCAAACGCTTAGCTGCAGTGAACCTGGCTGCCTATTCAAAGACGCCGGCAAACCGGGTGAATGCAGTTCCGAGGCCGGTATCTTACTGAACTCCGAAATCGACGACATCACTAAGAAGCGTGGTCTCAAACCCAAGCTGTACAAAGAGGAAGCCGTCAAAGTCTTGAAATGGGGCAATCAGTGGGTTTCATACGACGATGAAGAAACGCTCAAGATGAAGACTGAGTTTGCTCAATCGCGTTGTCTCGGTGGCGCCATGGTATGGGCCATCAGTCACGATACCAAAGATGCCAAGTACAACAAAGCTCTGGCCAAGGTTCTCGGCCGAAAGGTCACAAGCGGTAGCCTTGACGACGACGAAGAAGCAGAAGAGTACAAGAAGGTGCTCTACCCGCAATGTCGCTGGACCAATTGCAAGGAGACATGCCCTAAGGGTTGGGTCACTGTTCCTCGGTCAGACAAACGCGCTCGTAAGGACGAAATCTTTTTTGATGAGACGGGCTGCGGCGGCGATGGCGGTCACACCTTCTGCTGTCCAGCGGAATACATGTTGCCAAGGTGCGGATGGTATGGTAAAGGCGGCGACATGTGCGGCAAAAGCAATGATCTCTGCCCAAGTGGTATGGTGGAAGTTGCGACTCTCCAAATTTACTGCAGCGCCAAGCAGCACTTTCAGGCAGGCTGCTGTACCACCGATGCCACTTCCATGAAGGTCTATCAAACCTGTCAGTGGGGGTCATATCCAGATTGTGACAGCGATGGCGAATGTCCAGGCAAGAATATGGACAGCCACAATACAAAGCTCCTGGCATACTCTGCTTCTGGATCTGGTGGTGGGAAGTGCAACCAAAAGAAGAACGAGCTTGGCACCAACGTTCCTGGAGTTCAGCTTCAGAAGTACTGCTGCGATGTTCACGATGAAGACATACGATTCGAAGATTGCCAGATCATGAAGGACGTGGGCCCGTTTCCCGATAAGCCAGGCCTATCCCCATACTACTGTCGCAGTGGTTGCCCTCCAGATCGGATCCGTGTTGCCATGGATACAGAGGTTGAACCATGTTCATACGCCAAGATTGGTGGCTGGGCGTTTTGCTGCAAGTCTAGCTTTGGCTACAAGAAACGCAACGAGAATCCCAAGGTTACCGGTATCAAGGACGTCATAAGACACTGGGCCAATGAGCCTACCTGCCCAAACAAACGGAACGACTTAGATAAGCGTTCGTCCTCACCCGAAGATATATCGGCTAACACGACAACCGACATAGAGCTCTTTTCCAGAGCCGACGATGTGAGTATCGATATAGGTGATATTCTTGGAGATATTCTCAGTCGAACTGGAAGTCCCGATATCCTTGATGCAGCAGAGACTTCGTGGGACAACTTGGTCGAGCCAGTCTTCCCTGAACTGACTATAAGGAACATCAAGCGATATCTTGGTGTAGGTCCTCGGTGGGAAAACGAAGGACCTCGGGCATCTGCTAATCGCATTGTTTGCAATCCCCACTCGTCAAGTGCCTGGATTTTGGTTCTCAAAGAGCGTGCGGATGGCGGTGGAGGCGGCGATGATGGAGGCGGTGGCAGCACCAAGATCCTCAACTGCACTTCTGCATGTCTCGGCGGTACCTGTGGTATTGCCACGGATGACCTGACAAAAAGACATCACGCTGTGCCTCGCCATCAATCTACACACCGGCATCACTGGATACATGCCCGCCAAGCTCCCCAGCCGAAGCTTGAAGTCGTAAAATTAATAGATCCTAGCGGCGATGATTTCAAGCTCGATGTTCTGGTTCCCGCGAATCCCTCTGTCAGAGAGTTACCCAGCGACCATGATGGCCTTGAAAACACGGCCGAGTTCGAGAGCCCCGATGATTGCTCCGACACAAGATTGAAACCGAAAGGAACATGGAACAGTCTCAGGACTATCGACTTTCAAAGTACGTCTCGCGTGCCCCTGAATTGCTACCACTGACATGCAGGATTAGCCGAGCATCCCTTCGATAAGGGTCTTCTGAAGCTGTTCTTCAAGTGGGCAGCCGCAGGAGTGTAAGGCAATTTCTTCAACATCTTAAGGTCGCATCGTTGCTTACTTTTAACAGTCTACCCAGCGGGAGGCCGGCCGCAAGTGGTGCCGTCCCTTTAGCATTCTTTGAAGCCATACCGACACTAGGGGAGCTGGACCGCTTCCGGAAGTTTTGGGAGCCTATCGCTGGGAATCCCAATTTCGACAATGCCAACCTCTTCGATCGTCTTTTCGAGTGCTTGGGTAGCTATACAAATGACAGAAACTTCGTTGTTACTGAGAAGCTGCTGAACGTGGTTAAAGGCGCGGTACGTTCATTCATGAAACACTGAGAGGGAGTCGACATCATGAAATGGCGAACTAACGCCTTCTAGATAATGCAGCACAAGGACCCCATGGCGTACATTGACCGCTTGGAAAAGATGAGGGATGACCCTAACGCATGCCTGGCAATTTTGCGGGCAGCCATCGCTTCATTTGACTATATGAATACCAAGACCGGCCCAAATGTTCATGGGAAAATGACGAATATCTTGGCTGACATGTGGAGTCAGTTGGTCACAGCCCAAACCATGTGGAAGCTCGCGCATCCAGATGTCAAAGCCGACATCGCAGTGTTCTTCAGGGACTGGCTGATCGACTGGTACGAAATGGCCGTTGTTCGCGCCAAAGGCTTTTTACTAGCGAGCATAGCTGAGATGAGAAATATTTGGGAGCACACAGATGACCCTAGGGCAGATCTGGTGTTAGAAACGTTGAGCGCACTGGAAGAAAAGATTCCATTCCTTCACATTCTCACAGATTGGGATTATAGATCTTAGTAGCGGCGACGTCTCTGTCTTGGTCTTAAGCCTTTTTCATAGCTTCGAATTAATCTACTTTTGCTTAGGTATTAGTTATGACGGCGCGGATATAATTTACTTATTTGTGATATACAGTGAAGCAGTTTATATGCATACTATTTATTTGTTTATGCAGCAGCTGTATTAGTACTGCCATTTTGAGAGTGGTTTTGGCTCGTGTCAGATGGGCAGTCGGGTTAGAATGTATTGAGAACGAGATATCTGGTAGTCATTTTTGTATCTTTAGTGAGGATAAGTCATTGCATTTTCAACAGACGACTTGAGTAAGTGCCTTCTAATCTAGGTCGGGTTTTCTGGCTACTGGTGGTTACGGTAGTAAATGCATTTCCATGCGTATTTCGGAGCATTTGTTTGTCGGATCCGCGTTCCAGCCACCACGCCATATGTACTCCTCTAGGTCCTCTTCTGGACCATTGAAAGACAGTACCGTATGGTAATTATCGTCCTTTCCCATAAGCGACTGCCAAAGGGCAAGCAGGTAACCCGTTGGTATTCTCATCCAGCCCCAATTGTTCCAGCCGTCCCGCCAGTCATACGAGATTGCCTTGACTACAAATTCGCCCCTTTCCATAGCTTCAAATACTGCTTTATCGGCAAGAAGAACGAAATTAAAAAGACGCCCTGCCATGGCTTCTTCTTCCTCCGGCCTATCACGAAGGCACACTTCGCGGATCTCGTGGACTCCCAGGCCGTCGAGTGATGGATCCTGACGAATGTCAAGATAGAACAAGTCTTTGATTCGTTTAACGTCGTCCGAATATTCTTTTTGGCTTTTATAGTACCAGGCTTTTGGTAAGAAATCAGCCCGTTGATGCATCAGCTCATCTTCAAAGGGCTCGTCTTGATAGTAGCCAACTGCAAGCATAGTTTGCTTCTTTAAAGCATCAAGTAGTGTATCCCATTGCTTATCGGACTCGAGACTATAGTGTGTGCGATAGATAGTGTAACCCCAATGACCGTAGTACTTTGAGTTTTCGGGAAGCGTTCTATCAAGCTTCTGCATGCGACGACCCCTCCCCACACGCGTGCTGGGAGGCTGCCATATCATGTCGATCATTTCGTGAGGCCTGACCATGTTGTTAAGGTGTTGCTAGTGCCGAATGCAACGTGAAGAAATTAAAATGCGGACGAGGTTTAAATTGGTGTTGTTACTTGTGATGCAGTTACTTGTAGAGGGGAAATGACGGAAGGGAAGTGTTCTCCATTTATTGTTTTTTATCAGTATGTGGTGGCCTCAGGCACTACAGGCCTGATCCCTGTAACCAACATAAATACTGGCTTTTCTTTTACTTTTAGGGAATAGTTACCATGCTTTTTGCTAAGAGCCTTTTTATTTTTTTAGGATACTAGCCAAGGTTAAGTCAAATAAATATTACAGGCTGACACTTCGCTGGGCGGTCGCTTTGTGGCGATACGTGCGAATTATGAGATTTTCAGAAAGCGGTGAATGCGGTTAAAAAGATCATGGGCAAAGGGAAAACATGTGATTCCCAGTGTAATGTTATGCTGTGTCGGTGGAGTGCTTCATACCAAAAGTGGTCTTATTTGCAGACCAGTAGGGCGCTTTAATCCAAGCCCGTCAGAGAAGGTGGTTGGTTACATGGCGGAATCAGTACAGAGTAATCAAGATGCTCTCATGTCGGCTCTTGTACTAATAGATGATGTCAATGCATTAATTACAAGCCCAGTTAGAAATACTTTATATTACACGCTTCCCCAGACAATTAGGATTTAGTAATTGGGCAAAATCGTCTTCAAGCCATCATCTACTAATAGTCAACCCTGAACCGAGTAAACTCGGGGATCCACTCCGGTCTTGCAGTCTGAGCTTCAGAACAATCGCCAAGTGGCTCAATGCAAGGAAGTCCTGGCCAGACATAAGTCTCAAGGTCGCGATTGGACAGTTCATATCGCATCGCACTGTGGATAGTACGAAAAATAGCATCCTCGAGAAAAAGCGACTCCCAGAGGTTCAGTATGTCACCGGTTGACATTCTAACCCATCCCGGACTGAATCGATCCTCGTCCTGATCATAAGCAACAGCTGTGATTACAAAGACTCCACGTGCAACATCTTTCAGCACCTTCTCATCGGCAACCAATGCAAAGCAATGTTTGGCCACTTCTATATTTTCCCTAGCCTGGGGAAGCTCTTTGCGGCAGACTTCTCGGATTTGAGGGATGTCGAGACCATCGAGCAACAATGCATCTTCCCGGGTGGTGAGACGAAAAAGCTTCTTTAGTCGATTTATATCCTCCAGATATTCGCTTTTATCGCTGTATTTTCCCCAGTGCCTTTTAATATCGTCGTTAAACATTATGCCCTCTTCGTGGTAGCCGAGTGCAAGTAAGGTCTGTCGAGTCACGGCGTCGATCAGGGTATCCCAATGTGTATCCGAGCCAGGACCATAGAAAGTACGGTAAACCGTGAAACCCCACCACGTTTGTCAGGCCATATTTCAAGCTTGGCTTAGTTAAGTAACCTCCGATATTGCAACCAACACACCAATCGCATCCATGACGAACTGGACCCCATATAAAGTGCAAGACTGACCAACCGTGTCTTTTTTCCGGTCTCTGGTACACCTCGAGCGGCTTCGCCGACAATAGCATACTTTTGAAGCTTTTTTGCAGACCGCTCGCCTAATGTCCGATTGGCAATGACACAATTGAGTCATTGCAATATGTGGTGCGCTATTTGCGGAGGACCAGTCGCTTCATACAACATAACATCCCATTACAATCGCCCAGAGGATTGTTACAAGTATGATCCAGATGTTATCGACCCAGCTGACGTCGAGTGGACAAATCAAACCCAAATCTTGGGCTATAATCCTTCACCTGCTGCAAACTCAAAGTCTGTTCCCCAGTATTTCCTTATACAATATGCTAACCAGACCAGGTTCTATGTATCTGGGCCAGCTAGAATTCATCGGTTCTTGAGCTTGTCTTCTGAAGCGCGACAAGATCCCACCCTTGAAGGTATTGACGTGCGTTCTCTGAGAGTCTACAAGAACGAGAAATGTCGTGAACGAGTGATTCCCTTCCACCCGGAATGCTACGAGCATTGGCATGGTATTTGACTGGGACTCCTGATACTACTAAGATCAGCAAAGGGGCACTCTATAGAGCTTTCGACCGATTCTCAGTTGTTAGAAAGATCCGACCACCAGAGCTAAGGTGTCTTTGCCTGGATTATGGGGATATCAATGAAGCTCAGAGTTAATACTGGATATGCATTCCTGGGAGAGAGTATACAGTCTCCAACCCGCAGTATAGTACTGAACTAAAGGATGAGATTGCCTCTTTTATTTCAGGTTCTGAGTTCAAGTGTGAGGCACTTCAGTTCTGCTGTAGAGCTAAGTCAGGATCAAACCCACTAGCAGCCCTTCCCGAAACAGTCATACTTACAATTTCGGAATTCTTGAACAATACAAGTCTTCTAAATCTCTTATTCGCCTCGCAGATGACATTCTTGAGCCTAAGGGACAATGCTTCTTTTTAGAAGAGGTAAATAGTAACCCATTTGCCCTACTTTTTCAAGCTACACGAATACTTAAGAGAACAGTCTTAAGCTTTAAAGGGCAGGGACTTCAGGAGGATATCCCTATGGGCTGAGAATGCTTTAAAGCCACGCTCAGGAGTCGCGAAATCCATGTTCCTAATCGCCAATTGTCGAAGAATTTGGAAGGTCTATAAGCAGATTGAGAGTCTTTATGTTCGAGAACCACAACGCCAACCTACTAAAAAAGGTTATATTATATATCAAGCTGTTAAAGGTAGGCTTTAGGTATTAGGCAATACTTAAGAGCTAGGCTTATACTTTAAGTTAGCTAATTTCTTATAAGGCTAGTATAAACTCCTATGCCTATAGATATTTAACCTAACTTCATATGGGGATATGGAGGTTAGGGTTGATGCGTGAGTTCAGAGAACAAAAACTTCTCAAAATGGGCCAAAAGCCAAGTATATGATAGAGCGAGACAAGCTTATTTTGATGAAACTAGACCCCGATTTTTCTCAAGTCTGTGGAATAAGTTATGATGATTCAGAATATTTAGTCGATTGATTCTAGTCAAGTTGGTTGATGACAAAGAATTTCTTGGCTCACGATAAATTCAAATAGGTATAGCGACGACCCACTTTGAAAGTCTTGGCTCACGATTAATTCAATCTGGTTTAGCGCGAAAACCTGGTGACACAATTTCGCGACCTTTCCTGATCAGTTGAAACCTATTACCCTAAAATCCAAGGCGACGAGGGGGAGAGCTACCATTCAATTGGCCTGGTAGCTTCATTGAGTCCTCAAGCCTTGACGAAATAGGGAGTCATATGCTAGTGCAAAATATCGTACAAAGACTTACAGTGCGTAGCTCTCTTTGCGATAATTCTAAAAAGAAATGTCTCGAGGTTGTTTGTAAGGCCGGGCCTTATTGGGCGCCAGCACCTTGGAAGGATGCCGCGCTCTTGTTCATTGTTTTTGCTTTTTTTAACGCGATTATGTAAACTACGAGCCCAGCCAGAAGACGCGTCTCGCAGATCTTAATGTTATGGAACCCATTTCCGTTGCCATCAGAGATCAAGCAAGATAATGTCTCAACCAGCCCCTAGACGTCGTGGTCGACCCAGGAAGACAGAATCTGAAGAAGCGCGGGTCGCTCGGGAGCGTGCTCTGCAGCGCGTACGATCACAACGATACTACGAACGAAAACATCAGCAAGCCGTGCAGCCCTCTCTCCCGCCCGCCGAACTGCACCAAACAGAATTCGTGCATTACCACCATACGTTGTCTCGGCAGTCACCAGCTGCATCGTCAACGGACCCGAGTACCGGCTTCCACCTGGAGTCGCAACTCCACATTCCCATACCAGATGAAGATCCACTGCCGGTCGAGTCTACTTTGATCGATCACGAACCAAGCGGCGTAGAGGTGGATTCAGCTGAAGGACCGTGTGATCTACCATCTGTGGAGGATGATGATCCACATACGGGTAATGCAACGCCCCAGTCTCGCCAAGTTATAGAAGAACAAACGACTCATTTCAGCCTGGGCACGCAATCTATCCCTCATTCAGGTAAGTCTCTTCATCTCACTCCCGTGCGAGATGCCTGTCAAGAATGGTTTCGCCTCAAATCCCTTGAAGCACCATCTCGAGTCCTGGCTACAACCCGCATAACTGACCCTGATTATAGCTTCTCTTCACCATATTGATGACGTCGCCGATGGCCATGATGTTGAGGATAGATCCTATGGCATCCCCGAATTTACCAATCACCGCCCTCAAAATCCGCCGCCTTCAGAGAACCCAATCCCGAGGCTCGAGAAACATCTTGCTCAGGAGTGGATGATGCATCCAAGCTGTTCAAGAGAAGAACATGATGCAGACCACGGGAAGTTAATCGAGACTGCTTGCCACCGTTCTTGTGACTCACTAGAAGATGTTATCGCTCGGCTCGATGGATTGATGAATGATGATCATAGCCATGACCCCCTACCGCATGTCACTGAACCCACTTCTGATATTCTCGATCATGCTTCTTCGGCGGACGATCCTTGCAGTAATAACCTGCCTCACAATTCTAATTCACAAGAGCACACAAGCTCGCGTCAACGTGATTACAGGGCAGCTTGCCAAATCGCTCTTGAAGGATCTCTATGCGGTGGCGTACCACCGAGTCTTTGCTTGGAAGCCAAACATCGCCTTGCACAGCCTTTTACAGATAACTTCATCCGAAAAACGTACGACGTCGACAGCATATGTAGTTTCCCCTCGTCCTTGGCTGTCGCCAGGTTGGGTATTCAGTGGTACCCGCAACCACATGTTATCTTCAACCTCACGGATGACGTTCACATCAGCCTCGACATCCCTACCGAAGGCTTTCATCGCAACAATCTTCAGCCGCGAGGGAGTTGCCAGCAACGACGTCTATTACATCATATCCCAAACTATTGCTTTGGACGGGTTCAGGGCTTGATAGATACATTCATCTGGGTGTTCTTCCCTGCTTTGTGCCATCGCCACATACATGATAACTCCTATAAGCGGACTTCAATTCCCAAGGAGCAATACACATTATGGTATGATAAGGTCCTATTGCCAGCGGTTGTAGCAGCAGTTCAAGATCCAAGCATACTCCAGTACATTCCCCCAAGCCGCCGAGTCGCTCAATCTACGTCACGCGCTCGACAGGAGGGTATCTCCACTGAGTGTCTTACAGGTGCAAATGCGAGTATGGATGTGCTTGGTCAAGGCACAAGGAGCAACGCACTCTCATACTCACTTCAACACAGACACCTTGGGGCGATATGGCAGGAAATTCAATCGCGAATAATAGCATTTCCACAATTCGCTGGCGTAAGACTATACATGGGGGCGAAGAACCTGAAGCTTGCATACATGCACTTGGATATCGCTCAGACCCTCAGTGATTTTGACAATCAATGGAATGCCGCTGTTGACAAGAAATTCCTCGATCCAGACTGTACATTTATCGACATTGGTCGTCAATATACCCCTCAAATTGGGTCTGCTGCTGAGTCTAATGTCCTTATTTGGCGCCGCTGCTGTCTGAGACGACTATGGCGGCAGCGACAAGCATGGAGTCGTCAGTACAACACGGCGAAGCCTGACGAACATAACCACTCACAGTCTTTTGAGCCACGTCAATGTGGCGTCTCAACCCTTCGTCAAGCTGAGTACCCGTTCGTCACCACGCGCGACGCGGCCGACATGACAATCACACCCACCCACAATAGCCGTGAGGCTCGTGAAGGTCTCCTCTATAGCCAGTTTTATAACCTCGTCAAGATTCCTTTTGATGCCGCCAAACAGTACCCGTTTCAGAACCCCCAGCTCGAAAAGATGGCTCTGGATCCTTCCTACCTCGCTGATTGTGAAAAGTCTACCCGTGGAAGTCATGCAAATCAAGCTTCTCTCAAGCTCGCTTATCGATTAAGCAAACTTCGGGTTCGAGCTGCCTTGATTCCAAATGGTGAAGACGAGATCCCAGTTCCGTTCGCATATGGCGTTCGAGCTGAGGATCGCCTCTCTTGGGCGCTTCTACAACGTATACTCCCTCACTTGGCCCCCTCGCAGACAGCCGTCTCGGCTGTCCATGAAGAGGTTACGCCCGACCTGGAGCCACCTTTTTTCGCCATACAGTCAAGAACCATGGCACGCTTCCTACATAGCCATATCAATAGGTATTGTTTCCTCTTCGAGCACATCAAGTCTCAGACTGGACCCAGTTACTCATTACCAGAGACTGCTGTTATGGCAATGGCGCTCCGTAGCCTCCGTTTCAGCATGTCTGGTATCATCGCAAAGGAACCATTGTTGTGGAGAGATCGATGGAGACAGGGCCGCAGTACTACACCACAAAACGATCAGCAGCAGGGTGACGAAGTAGAGCTAGAAGGTCTAGGCTTGTACAAATCTTCAAGGGACTATGGGCTAGGCTGGTGGCTCCCAGGTAAATTTGATTGGGATAAATGGCGCTTCAAAAATGATGTTGGCGATCGAATTATTGCGAACCACCATATCATACAACGCGATTATGGTCGTCAATGGAGGGTTATTCAGGACATTCGTGATGTCCATGCACGCATGTGGCAGGCCTATAAGTGGGCTCAGCATTACTCAGTTCGAGAACGGCCAGTCAATCGGGGCATCTGGCTTGAGTACCTGTACAGTACTGTGATCGAGCTCTTCCAATGCGACGTCTGGTCCGAAGCCGTCAAGAGCCTCGACTGGACGACAGGTTCTGACCTCAACGAGAAGGCGGCCACTGAATTCTCTAAATCTGACCCCCCAGATTATTGCTACGATGTTCTACAAGACTTGTTCCACGATCGACGCCGGAGTATCAGTCACACTCGACCATATCTTCTGACGGGTAACAAGGTTCGTTCACTGGATATCTGGGACCTTGTATGTGACCTCTTGGGATTTGATCTCCATGAAGGACGACTTGAACCACGAAAATACCATAAAATCACTCCTTATCGTATTGCTGTGCGGCGCAGTTTTGAGGTCATAAGTGAAGTCCTAGGGTGCGCAGAAGCGTCTCGTTGGTTCATGAAGCTTGGTCGGCTCCTTTTACTGACACATTGGATACTGCCTTGGCCATCCACTACAAATATCATTTCTACCACAAAGGAGAGCCGCAAGAAAGGCCTTAAACGGAGACTGATCTGGGTCTCTATTGTTTACGCCACTCCCGATCTATTACGTCTGTACAGCTGTCGTT